CCGCGTCGCGCACAGAGACGAACGGTGCCGCCGAGAGCTGCGCCGGTGATAGAAAGTCGATCGACCAAGGATGCCGCGACGCTCTTTGAATGTACCCGCGAAATGGAAATGGTCTCGCCTCAAGAATTGTCGCTTTGACGCACCTAAGGAGAGGATGAGACTCGTCTGAACGGAAGCGAGGATTCTTTGGGAGTCTGGCCCGAACGATGTCGTATATTTCGGCGCGACTCGTTTACCTATGAACTCCGGATCGTCATCTTATTCTAGTTATCTTCTATCTCTGTGCTACAAAAATCCAGTTGCTGATTATTCTTTATTTTATCCTGCGAATTCAATATTATTTTATCCTGCTTCGTTATTTCTGCCGACATAAAAGCACGCGCCAGGACAATCTGGTTTAGTTCAAAGCTGAAAATGTTACGATCGATATTAACTTTTCTCTCTAGGTCACTTTTCTCAAGTATCGAAGGTCGTCGCTATTTTGTGCACATTAATTCCTACTTTTATACTACGATCTTTAAAAGACTTTTAAAAACAGAGGTTAACGTTCAGAAAATAGAGATGAACTTCGATGCTTGAAATATATGATCTTCAGAGAAGATAAACATGAATCATAATATTCTTAGCTTTGAACTAAATAAAGGTGTCCTGGCACATTTTTTGATATCAGCAAAGATAACGGAGATATTTCAGTGTACAGGATAAAATAAACACCCTATAGAGCATATAGCAGAAATACTGCGATAACTAGTAAGTTTAGGTGTCCTGGCACATTTTTTGACATCAACAAAGATAACGGAGATATTTCATTGTATAGGATGTAAACGTAATGGACGTCACACAACTTAACTTTTCAACTTCGGTTCGATTAAGGAAAATACCTTACTTTCATAAAAATCTTCAGACTGTTGGCGCAGCAGTCAAAGCGTTAACCAATAAAGATTTAAAGGCTTTAAAACAAATCAATAAAGTACATTTCAACTCAATCGAGTGTCTGAAGTACCGATTAAACGCTTTCTCACTTAACAATCTGGTTTTCCAATAATTCCATCGAATCCGATAAATAACGGATTTCAAGTTGCAGTCATGTTAACCTCGGAAGGACTGCCTGTAGAAAATTTGCTTGGTTAAGAAAGATGTAACCGTTGGAACCCAAATGTACCAAAGGTCGGAGCATCAAGTTTCTGTTGGCAAATAAATTGTTCACTTCTCTGGACAAAGTTCGGAGTTCCCGTCGCCCGATAGCAAACACCGTTCGCTCCCCCTCGATGTCTCTCTACTTCCGATCTCGCGATCTCCTTTAATGAAATCTTACTCTCGCCCCTATTTGAATAATCCTGTTTAATTAAACTCCACTTCCCGGCCTAGTGTTCCACCTTTGGAAGGGATTATCTTGAATTAACCGTCGATGTCCTCGCGCAGTCGAATCGCGCGGGAGGTGAGGAGGGCGGGCAATTTTTCTTAGTCTTCGCGGAAGATAAAGGCGGCTCTCCACGCGAGGATGGTGCGGTAGTCCCGTCGCAAACTCCGTCTCTGAATCACGGCGAGAGGAGCATTAAAGACACTCCCGGCCGTTTGTCAAAGTTAAACCGTGGAACTTGAGCGATTCCCCATCGTTTGCTTTAAAAGCAAGACGAATTCCCCATTGTCCCGCGGGTACAGGAATCCGCGTCATTAAAAGCTCCCGCTAGTTTACACTTTGCCTCGCCGAGAACAATGCAAATTGTTCCAGTCTTTGGCCTACCCCGTTCCCCCGTGCCCCACGGCCCCGCATCGCTACTTCATCTCCGGCTCTCGCCCACCACTCTTTAGCGCGCAATTGAACCTTCTGAGAAGAGACAATGTAATTGATCGCGCGAAACGTCTCCATTATGCGGCCTACTCGACGTGTTACCCTGTCCCGCGGACGGATTGATTGGCAGCGAGTTTTTTGTTAACAGACACGGAACCGATCGATGGGGCCGTCGAATTGACAGAAATCACGGGGACAATGGCGGAGGCCTCGATCGACGGAAGTTCCGTCGACAGGGCCGACAATTAACTCGATTTGACAAACTTCCTGATAGAAAGTTCGATTGCTCGTCACTGTCGATCGATAAACTAGTCAATTAATATCCCGAAAATACTGCTGTCCGTGTCGCAAGCGAGCCGCCCCGCTGCAACTTAAATCGGACACGATGTTCGGCCGTTCTCGTTAATGAAATTCGACGGGAAATTGAATGAAAAAACAGTTCAACTCGTGACTCTGCCGCGGCTGCGATCCGAAGAAAAAAAATGTCGTTTTGCTGGCGTGCGAAAGGTTTCGGTTTTTCAATCAGCGCGTATCGCTGCTCGGAATAACTTTAACAAGTGTAATTTGAACTTTATTCGCCAATTAGAAGCCTCTATTACCTAAGCAGCGATGTTCTCCGGTACACAAGACTGCGCCGTTAATCGGAAAGTTTAAGGGGGACTTGCATTTCTGTCAGAATTTCGTTCGAATGAAATTTATGGACGTGAAAGCTTTTTTAGGTTTCACCATGTTCTCTGCGAGTCATATAAAGATCGCGCAAGCTCCGAACTACTCATTAATCAATGTACAAATAGCAAATGCGTGTCTGGTTCACTGTAGCAGTTGCCTACGCTAATTTTTTTACGCAAAAGAATTATTACCATTATTATCATTACCTACGCTGATGTGTTTAGCTTGCCAAAGAGTCAAAGTACCATTCGGTATGATAAATTTGAATTTTCTAGTTCCACTGTCATTAATCAGATTACTTAGAATTTCTGGGAAATTTTTGGGACCGATGTTCGCTCAACGTGTCAAGGTGCGATAAGTTAGCAAGTTGCTCGTGACATCTTAGCGAGAGAAACTCGCCGAAATGTGAACACCGTCGCAAATATTGCTGGAACTCGCTCTCTGAAATAATTCGCGAGAGTAATTTGCTAACTTCTTGCTCGATACGTACATTTCAAAAGTATCGACATTGTCGAACTGCCTAAAGAAAACGTTCAAATTTGTTGTTAATTCTGTCTGAAACTGATCATTGTAACAAACCTCGCGTCCTTCCTATTCTCCCATTAACCCTTTACACTACAGCAACTTCGTCGACTCGCGACGAACACTGCGTACATAGTCTACTAAATACGAACGCTGTTCATTTATTCCGAATCGAAACGAAACCCGATTCTTACGTTATCAAAGTCCAAGGACAAAAGTCGACGAAGACACGACGGAAAATAAAAATTGTTCTATTAGGTAAACGACCGAAGATGGAGAAGCGCTAAATCATAGTGCAAGGGGTTAAGAAACAAGTTGATCCAACCTCGCGTGTTTGCCAAGCTTCCGATAAAAAGATAGATCGCCAAATAGCCAATCATGCATCAGCATGTCTCGCAGTCAAAGTTACCAGATGAACGTGGAGAGCCCGTGCATAAAACCGCGAATGCGTTACCGCAGGTGCTGGATTCACCGAAAGGGGTCAACAAACAATCGTTTATCAGCTGACACGTGAAAGCTATCGGATGGTTATCTAGTGCACCGTCGATCCTCGGCCGCGGGAGGGCGGCAGACCCTCGAGTTTTTTTCCGTTTCCGTTATCGCTGGTGCGTAACAGGTAGCTTCTCGATCCTGGAGATCGAGAGGAGGAAGGACCCGACCGAAAGGATGTGCGGGCATAACGGCTGGGGTTGGTTCGGACGATATTTTCTCGAAATATGTGGCGGAAGCGTGGCGCTCGGCACGGTCGTCGCCTAAATATAGAATATAGACGGACAGAGGGAGAGAGACAGACGCGGAAAGAGAGATAGGAACAGATAGAGGTAGAGAGTGAGAGATAGAGGGAGATAGAGTGAGAGAGAGAGAGGGATTGAGAGAGAGAGAGAGAGAGATTGAGAGAGAGAGAGAGATTGAGAGAGAGAGAGAGAGAGAGAGAGA